GGTGTCCTTGTTGGGCTGCTTCAAGTAGCAGCAAGGCTGTCTGACTGAAAGTTAAAAGGTAGATAAAAGGGGTGTAACGGTACGCTAAACTCTTATTCGGTTCGGTGTTTTGAAGGGCTCAGTTCGATGAATTTTGGTTTATTATTATTATATTTATTTATTTATTTAATATCTGAAGCAGTTCCTATAGTGAGCAGAACCAGGAGTCATCACAGGCTGCTAATCTAGCATGATGTATTTAATTATTTCACAGGTTATTTGCGCCACAGACGCCATACATAGATGCCCCGTGGACTGGCGCTGTCCATTGGAGATGCCGTCGTGGCCGACCACCATTTTACATTGATTAGCCCCCAGTGTATTCATTTCTACTGAGGAAGGTGCTTACCCAACTAAACACATTTTATCAAGCTTTTTCCCAAAATTAAACACAAGGTACGGCATGATAATGAAAGTATAAATAGAATTAAATAAAAATAAATATTAAAAATAAAATCCCATCAGGTAGACTAGAAAAGTCACTACTAATCCCATGTGATCTGTTTTCAATTGTACCCTGGTTGTTGTAACCGTAGGCTGCACGGAAACGGACATAGTTGCTCACTCTATGGACTTTGGAGAGTGAGGAGACCCATCCAACATGGCGGCAACGCTGTTACACTCTCCAGCGCCCAATGGGGCGTCTACGTATTCATGTCTATGATTTGCGCAGCTCACTCTCATAGAGACGAGTGTTGTGTTTGACGTGTTTTTATTTCTTACAAACTCACCTCACACCGACCAGAGTTTCTTCTTTAAAACTCGTATTGAATTACGAGCTTCCTCCACGCCGTATTTTTCGTTGTAAGATGAAAAATTTACATCAGTTGTCACAGCGGAAACTTCAGCAGACATGTTTGTTTACATGTTTGCCGCTGCGTGCCTGCACACTGTGAGAGAAGGGAGGGAGAGGCGACACGATGCTCCGTTCAGAGTCTCTACAGACTCCAAAGTAGCAGCAACAGTCAACTGGTTTGATCCGCTCTGAAAGATGTTGATCAAAATCTGAAGATCACATTTTTTTAATGGAGACCGGGCGCGTGCAGCCATCATGCATCTTTCAATACAGCGTCCATGCGAAAACTCGCCGAGGAACTTTTATCCGCTGCACTCAAGTCACGCAAATGTGTGAAAAATTCATTATTTTACAGAAAAAATTAACAGAAATGGTACGCAGGTGGACGAACCGAACTGCCCGAACCGAAATGGTTCAAGTAACCCCCGTGAATCGTTACACCCCTTGTAGAAAATCGTGCCATACCACTTTATTTGTAGCGTGCTTTTAACACGGCATTACAACCGACCAAAGAGCTGCACATAATTAAACAGAACAGGCAGAAATAGACAGGTATGTCATAAAAACAGTTAAAGAACAACACGATGGAGCCACAAGATACTAATCCACAGTTTAAAAATTGAACAACCACAGTGGAAAGGATGATGACTTCATGTTTAATGGTTTAGGAGTTGAAGGCCAGGGAGATGTAGTGTGTTTTAAAGCATGATTTAAAAACTGCAATAGAGGGCTTGTCCAACCTGGAGAGGTGGTGATTTCCAAAGTTTTGGGGCACAGAGAGCAAAATCATTTTCCCCGCAGGTCTTCAAACGTGCCTTAGAGAGGATGAGGAGGAGCTGATCGGCAGACCTAAGAACACAAGGAGGGTGGTAGAAATTGTGGAGTTTGCTCAGATAGGGAGGGATCTGACTGTTCAGCGACTTGAATGCAAGAAGCAGTCACCCGAACACAACCTGCCACAACAAAATAAAAGCTATGTTATACTAATGGAAGGCCTGTGGTGTTCATTCTTTAACAGTACCAGTTTATTAAAATTTTTGGGGTATTTGAGATTTTCTGGTTTTTCTTATTCATGCAACAGGAAAAAAGTCTTTAGATTAATAATCTAATTAGTCATTAGAATAGTCAACTGTTTAACAAATTAATCACCAGAAACGAATAATCGTTTACCCCGAGAACTACGTACAAGCAGGAGTTGGAGTAGCCTAGCCAGGGTGTAATAAAGGCGTGAATCACCGATTCTAGAAGACGGACACTTGGGATGGGCTTTAATTTAGACATTCTCCTAAGGTGGTAGAAGCGGGACTTTACTGTGCTATTGACCTGAGCATCCATCCTCAGAACCAGGTCCGTTTCTAATCCAAGGCTGGTAACTGTAGAGGTTACATTAGGAGAAGGAGAGTGGAGGTCAGGTGGCTGGGTTGCTCTGTTATTGTCTGGGATAAAAACAATGACCTCTGCTTTAGAACCATTCAGCTAGAGGACGTTTTCTGCCAGAAAAATCAGAACAGGATTATATTCAGTCAGAACTGCATGTCAGGTGGTTGATTGCTTCTAAACATTCCCCTGTTTGAGGTTTCTGAGTCATCAGTGTGACCTGCCCTTGAAACGGTAACATGTCACCAACAATGTGGTTACAGAGTAACAAGAGTTTGTTCTTCAGAGTTTCAGAAATATGGACTTGATTGGGTGGCTGTGGTTTAGGGGAGGGACTGGATGGAGCTGGCTCAACCTGGTTCAATCCCAGCCATCGACATGCAGTCCGGTCCATAAATATTGGGACATCGACACAATGCTAACATTTTTGGCTCTATACACCACCACAATGGATATCAAATAAAACGAACAAGATGTGCTTTAACTGCAGACTGTCAGCTTTTACTTGAGGGTATTTACATCCAAATCAGGTGAACGGTGTAGGAATTACAACAGTTTGCATATGTGCCTCCCACTTGTTAAGGGACCAAAAGTAATGGGACAACTGGCTTCTCAGCTGTTCCATGGCCAGGTGTGTGTTATTCCCTCATTATCCCAATTACAATGAGCAGATAAAAGGTCCAGAGTTCATTTCAAGTGTGCTATATGCATTTGGAATCTGTTGCTGTCAACTGTCAAGATGAGATCCAAAGAGCTGTCACTATCAGTGAAGCAAGCCATCATTAGGCTGAAAAAACAAAAGAAACCTATCGGAGAGACAGCAAAAACATTAGGCATGACCAAAACAAGAGTTTGGAACATTCTCAAAAAGAAGGAACGCACCGGTGAGCTCAGCAACACCAAAAGACCTGAAAGACCATGGAAAACAACTGTGGTGGATGACCGAAGAATCCTTTCCCTGGTGAAGAAAACACCCTTCAGAACAGCTGGCTAGATCAAGAACACTCTCCAGGAGGTGTATCTGTGTCGAAGCCAACAATCAAGAGAATAATCCACCAGTGTGAATACAGAGTGTTCACCACAAGATGTAAACCATTGGTGAGCCCCAAAAACAGGAAGGCCAGATTAGAGTTTGCCAAACAACATCTAAAAAAGCCTTCACAGTTCTGGAACAACATCCTACGGACAGATGAGACCAAGATCAACTTGTACCAGAGTGATGGGAAGAGAAGAGTATGGAGACGGAAAGGAACTGCTCATGATCCTGAGCATACCACCTCATCAGTGAAGCATGGTGCTGGAAGTGTCATGGCGTGGGCATGTATGGCTGCCAGTGGAACTGGTTCTCTTGTATTTATTGATGATGTGACTGCTAACAAAAGCAGCACGATGAATTCTGAAGTGTTTTGGGCAATATTATCTGCTCATATTCAGCCAAATGCCTCAGAACTCATTGGACGGTGCTTCGCAGTGCAGATGGGCAATGACCCAAAGCATACTGCAAAAGCAACCAAAGAGTTGTTGAAGGGAAAGAAGTGGACTGTTTTGCAATGGCCAAGTCAGTCACCTGACCTGAATCCGATTGAGCATGCATTTCACTTGCTGAAGACAAAACTGAAGGGAAAATGCCCCAAGAACAAGCAGGGACTGAAGACTGTTGCAGTAGAGGCCTGGCAGAGCATCACCAGGGATGAAACCCAACGTCTGGTGATGTCTGTGTGTTCCAAACTTCAGGCTGTAATTGACTGCAAAGGATTTGCAACCAAGTATTGAAATGTATAAGTTTGATTTATGGTTCTTATTCTGTCCCATTACTTTTGGTCCCTTAACAAGTGGGAGGCACATATACAAACTGTTGTAATTCCTACACTGTCCACCTGATTTGGATGTACATACCCTCAAATAAAAGCTGACAGTCTGCAGTTAAAGCACATCTTGTTTGTTTCATTTGATATCCATTGTGGTGGTGTATAGAGCCAAAAATGTTAGCATTGTGTCGATGTCCCAATATTTATGGATCTGATTGTATAATCCCAGCTTCCCCACCGTAGAAAAGGTGTAGTTTTTTTCTTAAAGGGGGTTTATTATATCCAGCTCCCCTTTTGCATCCTTTTTATGTTGGGATCTTGTGTAAAGAGCTTCACAAACATGTTTTATAGACCAGAGAACATATGTCCCCTTTAACGAAGCCTTCTAGATGAAACAAACAGTGTTGCCAACTCAGCGACTTTGTCGCTGTTCCTAACGACTTTTTGACCCCCTCAACAACACTTTTTCCAAAAAGCGCCTAGCGACAAACCTAGAGACATTTCTCAGGACACTTTGCTACTTTCTGTAGAAGTTTCTGGTAGATATTCCCTACAGATTAGCAACAAAGAAACCATTTGCACTCTGAACCGTTCTTCCGGGAGTAAGGAAGGAGAACGATAATCTGCACATGTGCACGAGAACTGACTAATCATAAACTGTTTTCAGCTGGGCGAAGACAAAGGCACAGCTGCAGAGCTGGAGACCCCCGACTTACGTCTGCTGCTGCTGCAGGCTCACACTTCTACTAGAGACGGCGCAGGCGTCAACCTGCCATCTCTGGTTCTGCAGCCGTCAGACACTTTGGTTTTTCCTGCAGTTGGCAAATAAAGTCAACGGGAGTTTCAACTACCGTCCCGTTTACACGCGCAGCTCTGTAACACATCTGAATTTCCTTTAGTGACACAGGGATGGTTATACCATGAGACACCCGCTCCCTTTTGCTCGGTGCACCGTTATTATCACGATGGAGAGAATACACAACAGAGAAGTTGAGAAACTATGAGGTGTAAAAAAAACCCAGCTTTTTAGGAAAATGTCACATTAACACATAAAATAGTTTTTTATTTTATTTTCCTCCCTTTTAGTACTAAAAAGACCAACATGTTTTTAAAATCTTCAATGACAGAGAGGGAGAGAGAGAGAGAGTCATTTATTTTTGTCAAGGTAGTGAAAAGTAAAAAGTCTTTTGGTCTTGTGTGCTGAAGCCCTTGTTGTGTTGGACAAAACCTCGGTGGTTGTGAGGTTTTTTATTGGATAAGAGTCTGGAAGAGGGGTTACTGATGATGGTGACTTCCTTGGACCACTAATGTGGGAATATGAACTTGCAATATGTTGTCTCCATGTAAATAAATGGGCTTCTCTACAAGATTTATTTATCTGATTTAGTATGTTTGTTAACGGTACTTCAGTATCTTAGCTGGAGTTACTGCCTGCTCATTTTCTCATATTTCATCTCTCTCACCGTTTTTCATATTGTTCTTTTCAATCAGAGAAAAGGAGACGCTACTGTTCCTTCCTTTGTGAACCGTATCCCCAGCAGCGATACACCACCAACACTTTTAAGAACTAACAAGTTCACAAGTGGGTTTCAGAGCATCGTGGAGGCTTACGGGGTGGGGGACTATCGCGAGGTGAGCCCAGGTGAGTACCGCGTTTTCTGAGGGACAGTGAAGTATCCCTCGTTTGTGTTTCAGAATATCAGAATAAACACGTTTGTTTTGTTTTGTTACTTTCAGCTCCCTACACCATCATCACTTTCCCCTTCCTGTTTGCTGTCATGTTTGGAGACCTCGGCCACGGGACGGTAATGAGCCTCTTTGCCCTGTGGATGGTGCTGATGGAGAAGAAGCAGAAGAAGAAGCGCTCCGGTAACGAGGTGGGTGCGTTGCCGTCTGTAAGGTAGAATCAGATTATTGTGAGTCTGAACTGACATTGGTGTTTATCTCAGATTTGGGCGACGTTTTTTAGCGGGCGTTACATCATACTGATGATGGGGCTGTTTTCTATCTACACTGGACTCATTTATAATGACTGTTTCTCCAAGTCTTTAAACATATTTGGCTCTGGATGGAGTATTAAGCCAATGTTTGCAAATCAGCACTGGACGTGAGTATCAGCGCCGACGTCAACATTCCCTGCAGCATCTTAGTAGATCCATCCAGTTCTGTAATGTTTGTGGTTTTTTTTTTTTTTTACCCTGCAGGAACAAAACAGTCCAAAGCAACTCTTTACTTACGTTGGACCCTAACGTGAGCGGAGTCTTCAGCGGTCCGTACCCGTTTGGCATCGATCCTGTAAGTAAAGCAGCTCCTACACAACAGCCGTTACGGTCTCGGATCCTTTTTAATAAAATGCTTTTAAACATTTCATCAGATTTGGAACATGGCTGTGAATCGACTGTCCTTCCTCAACTCATACAAGATGAAGATGTCCGTTATCATCGGTGTGATCCACATGAGCTTTGGAGTGGTGCTAAGTGTCTTCAACCATTTGTGAGTGTCCTTTGAAGAGCTGTCAGTTGTGTTTTTACGCAAATGTTTCAACTTTTATTTTTTTGCAATTGCAAAAAATAGAAAATTGAATAAAAATAGAAATGTAAAATTCCAAAAGACATAATTTATGTCTCTAAAGAAAGCAGCTAACTGTCTACAGACTAAAAAAAAGAAAAGTTGCTTCAATAACATCTGAGCAAATCAAAAATATTCCTCTTAAAGACAGAAAATTCCACTGAAGAAAAATCCCATCTGGAAAACTCCCAAGATGATTTAAATATGTAAGGAAACCCGTAAATACTCTAGAGTGCATGTCGGTGTATGAATGTTAAAGTCTCTGGGTTTGTCCTGTGTGCATCAGACGTGACTGCTCCTCCAATGTGTGCACAAAGTTTTTGAGTTCCTGGTTTAAAAACCTTCATTAGGTTAATCAGATGCTAAACGGGCCGTAGCCGGGATCTGCTGAATGACCCAATGACCTTGATTAAAAATTCTTGTTTTTGTTCTTCAAAGCATTAATTTAAACCCAAGAAGTCAAAACAAACACAGAAAATGTATAAACAAAACAAAATGTGTCGTGTTTTCTGCTCTTTGGTTTGAAATTCTGTAATTTAGTTGGACATTCAAGTTTAGATAAGGGTAACGTTTTCTAAACATAACGTTATCGTATATATATCAGTAACAGGGATGTGTATTTTTGAAATTCTGGCGATACGATACATATCACAATACAGGGGAAGCGATACGATGTATTGTGATACATTCAGTCAGACGTCACAAGCAATTTTTTTACTAAATTTGTTGTAAGAATGTTCAATAAACAGTCCAAACTGATACGTAACATGTTTAACATGAGGTATCTGAACCATGATGGAGGGATTTACATTTCAATGGTGGAAACAAAACCCGTTGCACACTGCTGCCAACTAGCGGGTGGCACAAAACGAAAAGAAAATACACAAATGTTTGCATGTAAATTCTTTCAAGAATTAGATACACGGCTTTTGAATATCGATGTAATAATCGCAGGAAAAATATCACGATATATTGCCATATCGATATTTCCGATACACGGCTTTTGAATATCGATATAATATTGCTGGAAAAAATATCGTGATATATTGCCATATCGATATTTTCTTACATCCCTAATCAGTAATGTTCATTTTATTATCTTTTTCTCCACTCAGCTTAACGATGTTATGCTGCATTTACTGTGTGTGTCGTTGTTCTGAGAAAACGTCCTACTCTGGCAAAACGTCCTACCCGTAGGAGAATTTTACGGTGTTTTACATGACACAAACCCTATCCCTCACCCTAACCCTAACCAAAGAAAAAAAGTACTAATACTTACTACGTATATATTTTCCTGCAAATATGACAGCGGAGTAGCATTCCCCTTTTGTGTTGTGCGCATGCGCACACATGCTCAGTAACAACGGGTAGTATGGTTTACCGGGTAGGAGAAATTCTCAGAACACCGTTGCTTGTTCACATACATGAGAGACACGAGCGTTCCTTTTACTGATGTTTAATGCGGTCTTGAATCTTCTTAATCTTTACACCACATGAACACCGTAGAACACTTTGGCCTGCTAGTAGACAAACCGGTAGACTTAAAAACACTTAACTTTCTTCTCAAATGTTCTTAATTGGCCCAAATTCTTCGTGCGCATCAATAAAATCTCCGAAGCTACGAGAGACAGGAAGTGACGTCACAGCGTTCTTAAACACACCTTATCAAAATAAACCAATTCAAAATTACTCAAATATCAAAAATTATTAATTCTGTGCACCTGTAAATGCTACGAAATGTATTGAAAACATGAAAAATAATACTTTAAATAAACATGTTAAATAAACTTTCTAGGGCAGGGGTGTCAAACATGCGGCCCGCGGGCCGGATCCGGCCCGCAAACGGGTTAAATCCGGCCCGCGAGATGGTTGTGTAAACTTTATTTTCATACTTTACAATGTAGAGTGAAAATAAACGTATCTTTGTGAGCAAGTTTTCTCTGTAATGATTATAAATAAAACAAAGCTGCGCTCAAGGCTCACACAAGAACTTGAATCACATCCTGAAGTTGGCTTCCACTCAGGATGTGACTTCTGATATTGATGTGCTGATGAAAGCTAAAAGATGTAAAGTAAAATGAGTCAAATATACTTTAAGTGCCGCATGAAACTGATCTAGCCATGTGATCTGTAAGCTCTTTGAATCACTAAGGAATGTTTTTTTTAATTTATTGATTTTTTTATTTCTTTCAAATTTTCAAGTACACTTCAGGTGCTGTACTTGTACTATTTTGGATACACTGTCCTCAGGCTCCAGCCTTGTTTTATATTGATTGTATTAAAACAAAGAAAACAATCTGAAGTTGTTTTTAATTTACTGGTCCGGCCCACTTGGGACTAGATTTCCCTCGATGTGGGTCCTGAGCTAAAATGAGTTTGACACCCCTGTTCTAGGGCATTAACAAAATCACAGTGCCATCTTGTGGTGAAACTTTGAACAAAAAAGTAGCTTAAACTGCATTTACACTGTGACTTGAAATTAAGAGATCATAGCTCCTTTTGCTTTGCTTTTAAGTCTGTTATGCCACATTTCAACTAGGAAATATCCAAATTACCGAACTCTTTCAAACCTGGGTCAGCCTGATGCATGACTTACAATGAGACGAAACCTCAAGAAATAAAACCGCCATCAATCCAGGATTACACTAAAAAAGGAAAGTTTAAGTTTTTGGTTTTAATCTCATGTCTGACTTGGGTTACCTGCCTATGCTGCAGCATATTGTCAGACTGGGTAACGTAGCTCATCCAATAGTAACTTGCTGGAAAGTTCATTTGAGTGCTTGCTGTTTGTATCAATCTGATGTCAAGAACCACAAATGCTGCAGAGACCAGAGGGAAATCTGAGTTGAGTCACTACAGGAAAAACAAATATATTATAGAAGAAGAGAAGTAGAGCCAAGTGCTTTGGATCCTTGTATTCTGTTGTAAACTAAGCACAACTACCACAGAAAATCATGGAAAAGGAAGCTTTCAGTTAAATAAATGGATGACTTCTATGAGATCTGAGAATTTTGATAATGAATACATTTCTGTATGGTAGCAGCTGCTCCTGTATGCACCACACTAAGTAACAATCTGTTTCCTTCTGCCTGGGCCAATTTCACTTCTAGTACCTTCATTATTTATTTATTGCTCTTAAAATTTGTCACCATATTGATCTTTTGAGCCTCACGAGATCCGATCGATATTTCTCTACATTGCTATCTTTCTCCTTTCAGGCACTTCCAGCAAAAGTTCAGTGTCTACCTGGTATTTCTTCCTGAGCTGCTATTCCTGCTCTGTCTCTTTGGCTACCTGGTCTTTATGATTGTCTACAAGTGGCTTGTGTTCAGTGCACGTGAGTCCAGCCAGGCTCCCAGCATCCTCATCCACTTCATCAACATGTTTGTCATGCAAGGAAATGATATAACGCCTCTGTACCCTGGACAGGTTTGTACTGACACCTTCTAATCATCATGGTTGTTGTAAAAACACAAGTTCAGCCTGGTTCCTTTGGCTTCCACAGACTGGGCTGCAGATATTCCTGCTTGTTGTCGCCATGGTGTCCGTCCCCATGCTGCTGCTGGGAAAACCGCTGTACCTGCATTGGCTGTATCGTGGAGGCAAAGCCCTGCGTCGACGCAGAGTGAGTGCTGAATGGAAGGGGTTGCATTTTTTACTTTGTTTCTCAGTATCAAATTGCGTTTTTGTCTCTTGTCCCAGGGTTATGAGAGGGTGAGGCGTGTAAGTGAGGATGATGGCTCCATCACATCCACCTGTGACGACGATGAAGAGGAGGGAGTTGATGGACTGACCATCAGAGAAGCTCCTCCCAAACAGGTCAGGGAACAGAGACGAGCTGAAATGTGTTGATGCTGTTTTACACATCAGTGTCCTTATATCTTCTTTTCCCTTTGGTCTGTGTTTTTAGTTTGACTTTGCTGATGTGCTCCTGCACCAGGCCATCCACACCATTGAGTTCTGTCTGGGCTGCATTTCCAACACTGCATCCTACCTTCGTCTCTGGGCTCTCAGCTTGGCTCACGCTCGTAAGGGCTGCTACCGCTGTGCCCTTTTTACTTTCTCTGACGTCTAAAGTAACTCATGTCTGTATCGCTTCTTGCTTTTTTAGAGTTGTCCGAGGTGCTGTGGGCCATGGTGATGCGTCTGGGTCTCAGGATCACCACAAAGGTTGGGGTGGTGTTTTTGGTTCCTGTGTTCGGTCTGTTTGCCACACTCACCGTATCAATCCTTCTGGTTATGGAAGGCCTGTCAGCATTCCTCCATGCTCTCCGACTTCACTGGTGAGGCTTTATGCTGTTTCATTTCAGCCTGACACATGTGGATGCTTACAGATGATCCTTTTCAAAACAGCGTAGAACAGATACTGTAATGTGGCACTAATAACAGATACTGTAATGTGGCACTAATCTGAAATAGAAAATTTTGTATCATCATGTGAAACTGAAAACTAATTGATGGGAACAGAAGCCTTATTTAGGAAGAAGAAACATTTTTTCAAAGATGTGCAACATAATTCCCAAAATTAAACATGAAGCCAACTAAATGTGACACAAAAAAGAAGAAACAATCTTTTCTATAGCACCTCTCAAAATAAAAATCATGAGGCGCTTCACAAAAACAAAAAATTTAAAATATAAAAAAATAATTTAGAAAATTATTAAAAATATGTTTAAAATAAGGAAAAATAGACAATTGTGATTCAAAAAAACATAGAGAGAGAGTTCATAGGAAAGAGGATCAGTGGATCCTGAGGAAAGTGGAATAGGTGGGGAGAGCAGAATAAGGAGAGAGTGGTGAAGAAGGTCATACAAAAGCCAGCTTGAACTGGTGTTTTCAGCTGCTTTTTAAAGGAGACCACTGAGTCCACTGATCTTCAGGCTCAAGGGGAGAGAGAGTTCCAGAATCTGGGGACCACAGCAGCAAATGATCTGTCACCATTGGTCATTTAGAAGTAACAATGGCACCAATCAAAGCTGGGCTACCTGCAAGCAACTAAAAATATTCAGGGACAATCACAGTAAAATGTAAAAATGTTGCATAAGTAAAATACCAATAAATGAGAGGGTGTCAGAGCTGAGATGAAGCAAAGCTAAATTTAGATACAAAACAGACACTGAGGAGCTCAACAACTGAACAAAGGGAGGCACAGAGACACTAAACCATTTCAAGGACATGCAGGATGGCTTGAAATCAGTGTAGGACAATACAACATGACGCAATGAGTACGAACAGAAAAACCACTAAAACGGAGACATGAGGCAACAGCAAATAAAATGAATAATGGTATTTTAATAGAACAGTTTCAGAATGGTTGAATATATTGGAGCATGAACTGTTTATTAGAGCAAAAGACACTCTGATTCGCCTTGAAAAATGTGAGCAATACTGCAGAAAAATCGTTCATAGCAACATCATAAACCTGGGTTTACCACTACTTACACTGTTGTAGTATTGAAACAATTCCACCACTAACAATATTTCATTTCCCTAATTAATTGTTGGCTGGCATAACAGTGTGTGTTTGGTTTCTGTTGGTCTAGTCAAATTTTAGTATTAAATTATTGCTAATTTTGTTAATAATTTAATGATAAAAATCCTCAAAAAATAGTTTTAAATGCATAAAATAAATTGGGGGCTTGTCCGGGATGCCCCTTCTATATTTGTCCTAACTTTTACTGTTTGATCTCAGGGTGGAATTCCAGAACAAATTCTACCACGGAACTGGTGTGAAATTTCTGCCCTTCGATTTCTCCCACCTGCCTTCTGTTTTTGAGCAGGACGGTTTGCTTTGAACCCTCAAAGGTGGTGGATGCTGGGAGACAGACATTACAAACAGGAAAGAGTGGGAACGATTCACTCTGTGACAACAACAACAACAAACCCTCAAGACTCTGAACTGAAACTCATTCTTGTAGCAGTGTTATTTCACCTTGGTGGTTTTTAATGTTCTCGGACGAGCTGACTGCCTTACTGCTGTACCCAGCAAATCCCTGAAGGTTCAGAGATTCAATGATGTTTCTTCTGTTTTATTTTCTTTTATTTTTAATGAGATTTAGTTCAGCTCTTCATGTCACAACAGTTGGGTGAATGCATTTTTCTTTTTCATTTACATTGTGCTGCATTAACAGGTTTTGTAAGCTTTACAACATGGTATTTAAACAGTTTTACAGTGCAGTGTGAATCATGTTAAAAGCATAAAAAGCATCCTGATGTAGTGCCATGCAGATTTATTTATGATAATATTATAGGGATGCCTTTGTTTGTTTTTAACTCCTATGTGATGAAAGAAAAGCTGCAAACATCAAAGTTTCAAGACAAAATATATCTAAACCCTTTTTGAGGCATTTTTTCATGACGCACTTTGCAGAAATGATTGTACTATATAGTTTTCTCAAATTACTGTGATGATGCCAAATTATTATCATATACACTGTTTGCTTAATTTATTATTTTACACATTCCCTGAAAGTTATTGACATAAAAAATTTACATTTTCTAGAAAAGAGAAAAAAAAATTCTTGGACTATACAGCTTATTGCATTTGTTTTTCATTATTCATGGTATTTATCTAAATCAATGTCTGTAAAGTAATATTTTACAGTTCTGTGTCAAATAAATGTTTGAGAAAGTCAAGCAAAAGTAAGCTCATTGGGGTGTTTATTTTTTCAGTAATGCTGGAGCTTGTTTTAAGTTTTACTGCAGTTTTCCACTTTGGTCTTGTTTTTCGAGAATTTTCTCATTTATTTTAAAAGATAAGATTGGGGAAAATAGTAAATTGTTTTAACCTTATCTTGGGTGTCAATTATTACAACTCATATTAGAAAAAGGTGTGTTTTTAAAATGAACAGTCAACAGAAGTCGGCCACTAGACTAATAATATTTTTGTCAGCTCTGTCTCATTCACATGGAGGGGGCGGGGCTTTAAATGTCTACTGCATCAGCCATTATAGAGGGGACGTTTTGGTTTAGTGTTCCAACTTGTTTATATTTCTGGCTTCAGTTATCCTACATGTTGATTTATTACTCAAGAGTTTGGTTTAATAAGTGTTGCAAATAATCCAAATAGAAAAAATGTTTCTTTCACTGTGTTTAACACATCTGCTCACACACTTAGGGGGATCCGGATCCTAACATTTAGAGAAGATGTCGGTGTTTAAAGGATATCTGCTTATCAAATGATGGGCTTAGTCCATCGCTGAAGCCTGAACACATTTGAATGCACCTTTGTTTTTGAACACAGCACTACAAACCTGCTTTTGAGCCAGAGTCTAAACTGAATAAAGTGGTAAAGACTAAGAGAGCTATTTCCTCATGAAATTAATATGTCATGAGGTATGTTACCGTGGCTACTTGAAGAAGGGAAACTACAATCTCGGACTCACAGCAAGAAAAAGTCAATAAGTTTGAGTGAAATCATTAACTCTAAAATGTAAACTAACCAGAGAAATTGTGAATACTGACTAGACCTGACTAAATCTTCTTAAATCTGACGTCCAGTATAATAATGCTAAAATGTCTGCTCAAGTTTGTGTAAGTCAGGGAATTTAGGAAAACTGCAAGAAGAAGCTTTTTTTTCTTTTTTAAAGTTACATTTTCATTTACAGAAATGCTCATATTCTGCTCTTATTTCACAAGTAGAGTCCCTCAGGGATCCTTTTGGAGTCCACTGCTTTTCAGTCTGTGTCATCTTTGAAGTCAATTTTATAAGAGACAGTTGGTGTCTGTTGTGTGTAACAGACTTATGCCATAGAAAGCCCAGATGAGCCATTTGAGATGAAGATCTCAGAACTCATTACCTCAAAGACCCAAAATATATCACATCATATCTTCCTAAGATCTATTTATCTTTAACTCTTTATAGGGCCAACTTCTATTTTCAGACACTTCCACTCTCATTGTGATGTCGGTGTGCCTTTTCACGAACTCTGAGAATTATGGGATTTCACACAGCCAATTCGAGTTCAAGCTAGTCACGGTTTGCGCCATGGCACCGTTCCACCAATCAGCATGGGGCAATGACGCACCATATATTGTGTCTGCAGAACCAGTAAACTGCTCAATTTCATCTTGTGTTTACAGTCAGATCTCTTAAAGTAACAATGCTAGGTCTATGAAACATCTTTTTAGGTAAAATCTATTGTTTTTTGGTTTTTTTTTTCATATAACCTTCATAATCATGGTAACAGTAATAATAATTATAATATTGTATATATTTAGCAGTTTTAAACTAAGATTTATATGGAAAATTGAGGACAGTAAGGTGCCAGTAAATCTAAACATCAGGGATGATGATGAAGAGGAGGAAGATGACATTGAGGCAGATCTTTAATTATAACAGTCTAAATATTCTAATAATCTATGAGATCAGAAATGATATTAATTTTTCAATAACTTTTCAAAAATATTCTATATGATTAAAAAATAATGTTGACCAAAAATATAAATGCAACACTTTTGTTTTTGCTCCCATTTATCATGAGGTGAACTCAGACCCATGACTCTCAAATATTGTTCTGAATTTTGTCTATGTGTGTGTTAGTGAGCACTTTTCCTTTACCAAGATAATCCATCCCACCTCACAGGTGTGGCATATCAAGGGGCTGGTTAGACATCAAATAATGTACAGGTGTGCCATGAACTGCCCACTATGAAATGTTCACAGTTTTGCTTTATGGGGGGTGGTGGGGCAGAAAACCAGTCAGTATCTGGTGTAGCCACCATTTGCCTCATGCAGGGCAACACATATCCGTCGCATAGAGTTGATCAGGTTGTTGATTGTGGCCTATGACTGTTGGTCCACTCCTCTTCAATAGCTGTGTGAAGTTGCTGAATATTGGCAGGAACTAGAACATACTGTCGTATAGGCCAATCCAGAACATCCCAAACATGCTCAATGGGTGACATGTCTGGGATGTTTTCCAGGAATTGTGTACAGACCCTTGCAATGTGGGGCCGTGCATTATCATGCTGCAACATGAGGTGATGGTCGCGGATGAATGGCACAACAATGGGCTTCAGGATCTTGTCATGGTACCTCTGTGCATTCAAAATGCCATCAATAAAACGTACCTGTGTTCGTCGTCCATAACATACGCATGCTCACACAAGTACCCCACCACCACCATGGGCCACTCGTTCCACAATATTGACATCAGCAAACCACTCACCCACATGATGCCACACACGCAGTCTGCCATTTGCCCTAAACGGTGTAAACCGGGACTCATCTGTGAACAGAACACCTCTCCAACGTGCCAAACTCCATTGAATGTGAGTGTTTGCATACTCATGTCTGTTACAATGTCAGACCACAGTCAGGTCCAGACCCTGATGAGGGCAACAAACATGCAGACGAGCTTCCCTGAGACAGTTTATGCAGAAATTCTCTGGTTATGCAAACCGATTGTTGCTGCAGCTGTCCGGGTGGCTGGTCTCAGGTGATCCTGGAGATGAACATGCTGGATGTGAAGGTCCTGGGTTGGTGTCTTCACACGTGGTCTGTGGTTGTAAGGCTGGTTGGATGTACTGCCAAAATCTCTGAAACGCCTTTGAAGATGGCTTATGGTAGTGAAATTAACATTAATTTCATGGGCAACAGCTCTGGTAGACATTCCTGCAGTCAACATGCCAAATGCACGCTCCCTCAAAGGTTGCTGTTTCATCAAACTGCACGTGTCAGGGTGGCCTTTTATTGTGGGCAGTCTAAGGCACACCCGTACATTATTCATGCTGTCTAATCAGCCCCTTCATACGCCACACCTGTGAAGTGGCATGCATTAGCTTGGTAAAGGAAAAGTGCTCACTAACACACACGTAGACTGATTTCAGAACAATATTTGAGAGTCATGGGCGTTTTGTGCATGTAGAAAAAGTTTCAGATGTTTGAGTTCAGCTCATGAAAAATGGGGGCAAAAACAGAAGTGTTGCATTTATATTTTTGTTCAGTGTAACTTGTTCTTGTTTTTTATTTTGGAATTTCTCTTACCAGAACAGGGCCAACGTCCATATTTGATCACTTCATTTTCACTGATTTTCTACATGATAATAAATATTTTTCTAAATTGTAACAGAAATGCACTATTGTTTTACACCATAATAATTTTAAACAACCTTAATGAGTGCCTTATAACAGGTTAACCTTGATTTAAAACCTTGAGTTAAAGCAAATGTGCTGGTACGGGCTGTAAATGGTCTGCAGTTCAGAAGTCTAGACTATGTCATGGCTGCTTTAGATCCTGTTAGTGGAATATTATATACAATGAAATAAAGCCTGATAATTAACATACATGTCATAAGCTGACCTACTCACTCTGAGAATAACAACCCAAATTTTTCACCTGATTCCCAATTATTAACTGTTTTCCCCAGTAATTGTTACCTTTCACTTGTCATCTGAGAAGATTTCTAGACTGATAAAATCAGTTTACGTGGAGAAAGCTTCTTAGCCAGATTTCTTCAAAAAATGGTTTCTTTTGTTCACAGAATGACTGAAAACGTTCACCGATAATTATCATTTGGGTCAGTGTTTTACTTCTGAGTAATCACTTGGCCCCAATGGATGCATCAAGTTAAGAAACAGGAACAAGAAACCTGTTTGAGTTGCACATTCAAATTAAACTCTAGTTGACATTGTCACTGGCCTCACACATGTAAAGTATCAACAGTGTTTTTTGTAGATGTGTTTTTCTTCCAGTTGTTTGATCAAAATAGACCATGAAGACAGGTCAGGAGGTTGCTGAGACATTCAACTGCATTCAGACCTGTGTGTGTGTGTGTGTGTGTGTGTGTGTGTGTGTGTGTGTGTGTGTGTGTGTGTGCGTGCGTGCGTGCGTGCATGCGTGTGTGTGTGTGTGTGTGTGTGTTGCATAGACAAAAATGGAGCTCAATAAGCAAAGCAGGGTTTCAAAAAAGACAAAGTGAGGGAGGCTGGGTGGCTCTGCAGGTTTAGTGCAGCACTGTGATTGGTCAGTGGAGTATGTCTACTGAGGTACATCAGCAACACCTGAACAAGAACTTCAGAGCTTCTTCTAGTCTGCTGCCAAAGGTGAGTACTAATGTAATCTGGGTTAATGGATTTTTGCACAGATTGGACAAATGTAACAGCATGCTTATAAAATCAGTTTCCTTTTGCCTTCCTTTTAAAACTGCAATTAAACTACGGTACATTAAACATTTAATAATCAGAAGAAGTTGGAATTCAAAACAACAAATGTGATGTTGCTATTTGACATTATTTAAAAGAGTGTGTGTAAGCACAAATGCATAAGCATGCCTGACTGATCATACGTCTGTGTGTGAAAATTGATATTGTACTTGCTTTACCATCACTATAAATAATGAACTATTTTATTCTACAGATGTGACATATTTCATTAAAATGAGCCTGGTTAACGATTCTTATCTGACTGCAGGTTCAAGCAGTGAAACAGTAGAAACATGATGAGGAACATCTGGGTCTTTGTCTTTGTGCTGCTCATCCTTCCTCCTGTTTGTGGGCAGCAATCAGGCCTCAGATTTGTACAATTGACATATTATAGCATGATTGGAACTTGGGAAGAAGCCCAATCATTCTGCAGGAGCAGAAACACGGATTTGGTCACGATTAGAAGTGATTTAGAAAATCAAATAGATTTTGGTTTTGATTATTGGATTGGATTGTACCGAGACAATGTAACCGTACCATGGAAGTGGTCCAGAGGAAATGAGACAGCAACCTTTTTTAACTGGGCTCGTTATGGTAAGAATAACTTTCAGCAGCTTATTTTTAACAGTTTATTATTTGTTGTACCCATTCAGACATTTGTTCTTTCAATTTTACAATTTGGTCATAGCCTAGAAATCTAGACGGACAGTAGCCAAAGCAAATGATTTTGCTCCACATGTCGGTCTAGCCACACTCCATATAGTCTCAGTAGGCCAGACCAGTTTTGTGTTTCGCCAATCACGATGCTCTATTGGTTTGTTAGGCCAATCACAGCGCTCTATTGTTTGGTGGGCCAATCACGATGCTCTATCGATTTGTTAGGCCAATCACAGCGCTCTTTCTTTGGTGGGCAGGATGATGCGACGGAGTAGAACAACCAAGATGGCGGCGGCTCGTTTGGCATTGTTTTGGCATCAACATTGGACGATTTAGAATTGGGCTCTTCTCTGAGTCAAGAACAGTTAGAGGTACTTCAGTCTCTATTTCAAAGACAGGATGTATTTGCATCTTCTTTGACAGTGTACAGCGGACTATCCCATTGTGTGACATCCGTAGCATTGAATATGTCACTCTGTTTGTTGTTCAGTAGCATGCAGAGACGGTTAGAAAGACAACCGTAGATCCTGCCCAACTGAGTTCTGTCTATAGGTCATGACCAGACTTTAAATTCACATGTATAAGTTGGCTTGCCAGACTAAGTTGGTGATTTTTTAAAGCAAATAAACATTTGTGAAAGTAGAGCTTTTTACACGACTCCTTTCACATGATTAGTGTAAGGCTGGTTGACCATTTAGCAAAACATTAATTGCTCGATGAGAAATATGTGTTAACTAATTTAATGATTACAAATAGTCTAGCTAGTCTGTTAGACACATCTTCTATAGTGAAAAATAAGTGTTTGAAAAAGTCAATGATACATGTATTTACTGTATTTATTGAATATTTTATTGCAGTGCTGTCACATTCTGGTCCTCAAAAGTCACTATCATGTATGGTTTAGATGCTTTTTTCATTCAGCACAGCTGATTTGATTCAATGGGTAATTAACAGGCTTCTGCGGAATTTAAGGGCAAACTTAAAGAGCAAGTCACCCCCTACCAGAGTGTTACTCAACTCCCACTTCCAGTTTGAAAAATGCTACAAATACTGTTGCCTAGCAGACAGAGAGGGCGGAGCCGCTAACATACACACACACACATAGGCTCACAATGACAATGTGACATCATATGGTACCAGCTAAAGTTCTAGGGTACCTCTTAGCCAATAGAGATGGCAGATTTAAATTCAACTGCAGTGCAGAGTTTTTACCTGACAGCGGAGCAACACTGACAGTTTTAGGCGGAAAATGATCATTTTAACTAAAATGCACTAAAGGGCTAAACTATTGACTACACGTGCCTGCAGCACGATTAGACACGCATTTATATAGTTTATCAGAAAAAAATAGTTGATTTGGGGGTGACTTGCTCTTTAACTCATTCACTGCCAGCCGTTTCCTGGTCAGTAAAGGCCTTCGCTGCCAGCGTTTCTCGCCGTTTTTACTGTTATTTTAAGAGTCGCAGAACGTTGTGCGCTAGGACTATGTCAAGGCCAAAACAACCAAAACAAAGAGGAGACTCACCTCTTACATCAGGAAGAATCTGCGCTTTTTCAGGATTATCCGTTCTTTCATAATCCATTGTCGAATTGTGATCGGCAGACGCTTTTCCGGATCGCGCCTCACTTTTTTTATAGTAACGGCCCAAAACGATCTCCTAACACATGGATTTTCTGCTTCCTGATCATGTGACGTGTGACGTATACGGAGGAGGATCGGCTTCAGAACTGAGATGTTTGTTCTCTCGGCACGGGGGCTCGTTCCGATGCCCAAACAGTAAGAAAAATGCAAATGACGACTTTAGTCGTCATTGGCAGTGAACGGTTGGATTTAAAATGGCGACTTTAGTCATCAATGGCAGTGAATGAGTTAAAGGTAGAACCCTGAAAAACAATTTTTATTATTTTAATGATTTAAATCAGTCATTCTTGAGTTCAATTAGCAAGGTGACAATGACAGTTTTATACAGAATAAGCTTTTTTTCTGTGAAATATTGGGATTTAATCTGATTATCCATAATCTTCTTTCTGTTTCAGAACCTCAAGATGATGAACACTGTGGCCTTAGGTGGATCCAAACTAGATTTTGGCTGAATGATTCATGTGGGAAGAAACATTATTTTTTGTGTTCTGATGAGAGCCTGGTTCTGGTGAAAGAGAATAAGACATGGGAGGAGGCTTTAGAATACTGCAGGTCGCTGGAGGTTGTAAACTCATTGAATCCAACCTACGACCTGGTCACCCTGACCTCTGCAGATGATCACAACTACGCAAGAGATAGAGCACAACAGGCTACCACTGATGAGGTTGGCTATGGTTCTATCCTGTCTTTGAGTTGCTAAACTTCTCTGACTTCTGATTTTACTTGCATCTCTCTGCTAAATTTTGTTAGGTGTGGACGGGCCTACGTTACCTGGGTGATGATTGGTTCTGGGTGAGTGGAGAAGCGGTATCATACCAGAACATTCCCAAGTGCCCAGCTGTGAGTTGTGGCGTTCTGGAGAAGAAAAACCAATTATTGTTTGGGATACGAGACTGCAACCAGAGAAGAAACTTCTTCTGTTCCAAGAACTAATAGTGGCATTTAAATGTATTTATTGCACACTGTTGAAAGGTGATACGGGTTTTGCTAGCTTGCGTGTGTGCTCACCGGAAAAATAGTTTGTGAATCATCAAGTTATCATTAAATGTACATATATAACTCATTAGCTAGTTTTATAGAAACCCAGATTAAGTTTGATGGTAAGGAGATGGGAGTTATCCAGGTAATCTGAGCTGAATTACCATTAACTGTTATAGTTTTAAGCAAAATACCACTAGATGGATTTTAATGGGATCCTAGAATAAAAAATACATTTACCTTGTTGATTATAAGCAGCTTGAGGTGTCTAATGTAGCATGTGTAACGTCACGAAATGGCCTGAGTTTCAGATTCCACGTGTCAAATGCACAGGGAGGTCAACTTTCCCTGGCTTTGCCACGTTTTGCTGTATTTTCCCTTGACAGGAGTCTGGAGTCTGCACTCAGCACTTTAATCAGATGACTTCATTAGCTGAGCGCAGCTTCATCAGAAAATAAAGATGAACAGTGGCATTCTTTTCCCAAGGTTCTTTACAGGAGAACTCCTTTTAATATGAACTCTTTATTCCCAGAAGGAAAGGAGATTTCATAATTTAAAGTAATCATTTTAATTCAAAATAATCATTGAGGAAAGAAGATTTTATGATTAAAAATAATTACATATTGCCATGTATAATTAAGCAATGAAATGTCCATGAATCTGTATTGAATGATGATTTAGTATGTTTACTAGATGAGGTCATCACCATCTGCTCACACACCAGACAAGAAGTAAGGTTAAAATTAAGAACGCATGACACATAAATAACCTTGTCCATGACTCAGAGACTCTGCATCTCAGAGCATGCGTTTCTGCGATTCTAGGTAACTTTCATAATAGATAACACCAGGATATATAAACCAGCCACTCGGCTTTCTCGTCGGTCGGAGAGGAAGCTGGAGACTGGCCATCTCTTAGCAGATCTTCAACCCAGAAAGGATTTTGACATGCTGTCAAAACCTTAAAGCTTTTTGCACCTGCGAAGCTGAGGACAACAAGATAGTTTTTCCTGCAGTACAAAGCTGACGCAAAACTCCTTCAGAGTTGTTTTTGAGGCACGTGGTTTTCAGTCAACCTGGAGTAATCCTGGACTGACCTGGTCGTACTAGAAGTTGGTCTACGGACTTCTGTACTCGGGGTCTCAGACCCCTCCTGACATCTCGGATCTGCAAGGGCATCTCCACTTGGGTACGTAGAACACAGTGAGATAGCGTCTGTATGCAGTTCTATAAGAAACAACTTAGCTTATATGCAAACCAAATTCTCTTTTATCTAAAACGCACCTCTCTGAAGATACGGAGATTCTGATTCACCATCTCATATTCACACAATAGGTTCAGACACCATTTTAGCTCCATCCACTCACAGTAGATAACAGTTAAACCATCTGTCAAGTCTTAATTGTTTGTCAAATAAATTCTTATCTTATTTGCAAATCTGACTGGTTCTTGAATCATAAACTAAGTGTTTACAGTCCCTGAATGCAAGGGCGGAAATCCCATTTCAATTTTGGGAGGGACAATAAACAGTAAAACTTCAGAGAGTAATTTTTGGGGGGACATGAAAAAAAATGCTCTCTTCATACAACACTCAGGGTCTCCCTTACATAGGTGTAGCTGTGGTGGGCCGCTACAGCTGAAATCCCACCGCCACGCCTACAAGATCCCAAGTTTTTTTTATTTATTTATTTTTGTGCTGTTTCCCGAAGAAGCAGCGGGAACTACTATGTTGTCGCTTGTGATCACAGCCGGCAGGCAGCAAGGAGGAGCAGGCAGGGCAAGGTGATGTTACAGCATAAGTTACTGAGTCTGTGAAGGTTCTCAGTCATCCAGGTCATTGTAGCCTCATGAGCTTTGAAAGAAAAGCGTCTGGACTTCTTTGAGTTGCTTGAAGACGTTTCACCTCTCATCCGAGAGGCTTCTTCAGTTCTAAGGTCAAATGGTGGAGAGTCCCAGATTTAAACCCCGTGGGAGTGTCATCCCCCCCCCCCCCCCCCCCCCCGAAGAGGGAACAAAAGACCCCCTGATGATCTTCTACATAAACACATTAAGGGTGGGTGTGGGTCCTATTCAGCCAGAGTTTCGGGTGAGCTCATTGTGAAACCTGGCCCTACCCTATCATGTGAATTCCTGAGGTCAGATGGCCCAGGATATGCGTGGGCGTTGAGGCATCTGGGAAGGGATCTCAAAACTGGATTATAGATGGCAGACAGTTGGTGTCGTAAACCACCGACTCTGTTCAAAGATGGTTGCTCACAGTGGACATAAATGGCTTCCTTTACTCCTCTTTCAAACCATCTGTCCTCTCTGTCCAAAATGTGAACGTTGGCATCCTTGAAAGAGTGACCTTTGTCCTTTAGATGCAAATGAACTGCTGAGTCCTGTCCCGTGGAGGTGGCTCTTCTATGTTGTGCTATGCGCTTGCAAAGTGGCTGTTTGGTTTCTCCGATGTAGAGGTCTGGGCATTCCTCGCTGCACTGTACAGCATACACCACATTGTTCAGTTTGTGTTTAGGAGTTTTGTCTTTTGGGTGAACCAGTTTCTGTCTGAGTGTGTTGCTGGGTCTGAAGTACACTGGTATGTTGTGTTTGGAGAAAACCCTCCTGAGTTTCTCTGATACACCGGCTACATAGGGGATGACAAGGTTGTTGCGTCTGTCTTTCTTTTCCTCCCTCACTGGTGTCTGGTTTTCTTTTCTGTGCATCATTGCTGACTTTATAAACGCCCAATTAGGATAGCAACATGTTTTAAGTGATTCCTTTATATGTGTGTGTTCCTTCTTTTTCCCTTCTGACTTAGAGGGAACATGTTCATGCTGGACAGCTGATTTTATCATAGGGGACTTTGGCCATAATGTTTTATTATTGATTGTGTAATAAAGTGTGTCTTTTCATAAGTCGTTGCCTACTGGTGGTGTTTTTGGGTTCTGACTGGAGGGCAAGATATTCTGCCCATGCGCCCATTGAAACTTACATTACACTGGTGTCAGAAGTGGGATCTAGCAATCCAGAATGTCAGAACCTGAAAATAATACACCTCCTTCGTTGAGATCAGCTGTAAATTAGCCCGAGAGCGCAGCGGCTCGGCCGATTTTTATGCCGGAGACCTTTTCCGGTGTTGGCCGTGAATGGGCAAACTGGGCTGAACAATTTGAAATGGCAGCCGATGTAAACAATTGGGATGAGCCCCTTAAGTTGAAGTTTATGTGTCTTCTTTTGTCTGACAAGGCTCGAGAGGTTTATAATGGCTTGTCGGGAAGTGTTAAAGCTAATTATGCCATGTTGAAAGAGCAAATGGGGAGGTGTTTGGATCCGTGTGACAGCGCTGATTGGAATAGAGCTGTTTTCTCCGCTCGACGCAGATGGCATAGTGAGAGTGTTCGTGAATTTGGGATGGCAGTACGCCAGTCAGCTGTTAAGACTTATCCAACAGCGGATCCCAACACACAAGACCTGTTGGCTAAAGATCAGTTTATAGCTCGTGGGGAATGGGGACATGAGAGTAAGTTTACGGAGTGCTAAGCCTGTGTCACTTGAAGCAGCCATCAACCTGGCGGTGGAGCTTGAGCTCATTAGGGCTTTGGAGACCAGCTCAGTATCTAACGCAAGAGTGAGAGGAATAACTGAGAAAGATGCTGATAATTAAAGCATTACTTTGCTAATGGGGTGGTTGAGAGCTTGAGACAGGAGGTGAAATCCCTCCAGAATGTGGTGCACACACTGTCTGCACCTGCTGCATCTGGTCCCCACCATGATGCTCAGAACACAAACTTACAGCCTAGTCAAGAATATTCCCGGAAAAAAGGAAATGGGAGGTTGGGAGGCTGCTGGGAGTGCGGTTGTAACCGGCATACACGTCGGGACTGTCCTTATGTTCAAGGAAACTAGAGGGGGCGCGTACAGTGGGTCAAATGCCCGCCCCCCTCTCCGTTGTTGAGACCCCTATAAGAAGAGGAAATTCTGGGTATTTGAAAGCCAGGATAGGTGGGTGTGAATGCCAGGTTTTAATAGATACAGGAGCTTCCCGCTCTGTGATTTTGCGAAAGCTGTGGTTATCCTTCACTCGAGGGGTGTGTGAATTAACTCCATATGAGGGTAATGTTACAGCTGCGAATGGGGGAGGAATGTGTATTTTGGGATGTTGGCAAACAACGTGTCAGCTGGGCCCCCTGGCTTTCGTGGTGGAATTTTTGGTATCAGGCATCCCCTCGGATGAAGTATTGTTGGGATTTGATTTTCTGTCCAAACATGGCATGGTGGTTGATCTGGGCACCAAAACGTGTAAGATCATGGGCAGAGTGTTCCCACTGCTTGACTTGGAACCTTTTTTAAGTCCACAGGTTGTAGTGGTGCAAACAGATACCGTAGTCCCGCCACGGAGCGAAGCTATAATATCGGGACAAATTAAGGACAGCTGGGGAGATTATGCCCAGGGGTTGCTGGAGCCGTCTGATCACCTTTCTAAGCGCTGTGACTTGCTTGTGGCGAGAGTTATTTGCAAGGTTGACCAGGGCCAACTCCCAGTGCGAGTGATAAATGTGAGTGACGACCCACTAATGTTGAAAGGCGGTATGAGTGTGGGCACGCTTTTCACTGATGTTGAGGTGGAAGACAAGCGGACAGATCGTGTGAAGGAGGATCAAGGCTTTCAGCTTTGGACAGTGGAATCGTTGATGACCCAGTTTAGAGTCAGTGAGAGAGGATTTGCCCCTGCAGAAGTCGCAGCAGTCCGACAGTTGCTCCTACAAAATCTGTCTCTATTCAGTCGAGGGGATACAGATTTGGGAAGAACACAGATTATCTCGCATGAAATCGACAACGGAGAGGCTGCACCCATAAAAATGCACTCCCGAAGGATTCCACTTCATCTACAACAGGAAGTGACAGATAATTTGAAAGACATGTTGGCAAATGACATTATTCGCCCCTCATGTAGTCCGTGGGCTGCCCCTGTGGTTCTGGTTAAAAAGAAAGGGGGCGGATATAGATTTTGTGTGGACTACAGGAAACTGAATGATGTCACTAGAAAAGATGCTTATCCTCTTCCCCGAATTGATGATGCTTTGGATGGCTTGGTGCATGCCCAATGGTTTTCAACCTTGGACTTGGCTAGTGGTTATTGGCAGGTGGAAGTAGACCCTAGGGACCGGCATAAGACTGCTTATATCACTCGCCAGGGACTATTTGAATTTAATGTGCTAAGTTTTGGGTTGTGTAATGCCCCTGGTACATTTCAGCGCCTGATGGACCTGATTTGGGCTGATTTGCATTGGACTGTTTGTTTAGTTTACCTGGATGACATTATCGTGTTCGGGCGTGATTTTCAGGAGCATCTAGCGCATCTGGGCACGGTCTTGGAGAAGTTGAGGCAGTCTAATCTAAAAGTAAAGCCTTCTAAATGTGACCTTTTTTCTACGCAGGTCCATTATCTAGGTCATGTGATTTCCGCAGAAGGCGTTATGCCAGATCCAGCTAAAATAGAGGCAGTAAGAGAGTGGCCCATCCCAACTAATCAGATGGAGGTCCAGAGTTTTTTGGGCCTGGTGTCTTATTATAGACGGTTCGTGAAAGGTTTTGCGGACATTGCTCGTCCATTGCATCGATTACAAGAAAGAGGAAAACACTTTCGGTGGGGTGAAGATTGTCAGGAGGCCTTCGAGAAACTTAAAGCCTGTTTGATAACTGCTCCTGTACTGACCTACCCCGACCCCAAGAAATCTTTTATCTTAGATACAGACGCTAGTGAGGTGGGGATTGGGGCTGTGCTATCACAGGTAGGAGGGGAAACAGAGCAGGTTGTAGCATATGCTAGTAGCGCTCTAACAATGCAGGAACGCAAATATGCCATGACAAAGAAAGAGCTCTTGAGTCTGGTCACTTTTACTAAGCACTTTAAACATTATTTATTGGGCAAAGAATTTGTGTTAAGGACAGACCACAACTCTCTACGATGGCTGCATAACTTCCAGGGTTTGGAGGGACAACTGGCTAGATGGGTAGAACAGCTGGCCAATTTCCAATACAAAATCATTCATCGGCCAGGTAGACTGCATAGTAACGCGGATGCCCTTTCCAGACTGCCAAGTTGGAAACCAGAAAACTTACCAGCCGGAGAGGGAGCGCAGCCCTTGGAAGTTGAGTTGAGGATGTGCTCCCTACAAGAGGGAGGATCAGGGTCCAGCCGGACTTTGGAGATGGATGAACTCAGCCAGGCGCAGCTAGATGATCCAGTGCTGAAGCGAATCAGGGATGCCAAACAGGGTGTAGAGCATGTAGGCCCTGATGACCCAGAACTAAAACAGTTTGCACCTGTGTGGGACCAACTCGAAATTCGGGGTTCCCAGTTGGTGTGTGTAGCACCAGCAAATTCTGATGCTGCGCAGGTGGTCCAGGTTGTTTTGCCCCGGGCTCTGGTGCCAGGGGTCCTGAAGCAGTTACATAATGCCCCCACTGGAGGCCATCTGGGGGTTCAAAAACTGCAAGGCAAGATAAAAGACCATTTCTATTGGCCCGAGTGGTTTAAGGACGTAAGGGCTTGGGTTCGTGAGTGTGCAGACTGTGGCTCGGTTAAAATGTATGGAGGAACACCGCGTGCACCTTTGGAGCAGTCACTGACCTCTAGGCCATTTGAGCGCATTGCTGTGGATATTTTGGGTCCGCTTCCTGAAACCAGACTGAGAAACAAATACATCATGGTAGTGGGTGACTACTTCTCTAAATGGACAGAAGCCTTCCCACTCCCTAATCAAGCGGCTAAAACAATCGCAAGGGTGCTGACCGAGGAATGGGTGTGTCGGTTTGGGGTACCGCGGAGCCTCCATTCTGACCAGGGGAGGAATTTCGAGTCAAAACTATTTCGAGAGCTATGTGGACTTTTGCAGATTCACAAAACGAGGACAACCCCCTATCATCCTCAGTCAGACGGATTAGTGGAGAGGTTTAATCGAACGTTGCTGACTATGTTGACCTTCTTTGTGGAGGACAATCAGCTTAACTGGGATGCCTTGCTGCCATATGTAATGTTGGCTTATAGAAGTAGCGTTCATGCTAGCACATCTGTCACACCTTATAAGGTTCTGTTCGGGCGGGAGATCGTACTGCCTGTTGATGTTATGTTGGACCTGGACAAGGGAGAACTCTTTGCCTCAGTAGACGAGTATGTGACGAGTTTGCAGGAAACTTTGACTACGGTGGTAGAGGCGGTGAAACGCCATCAGTACAGAGCTGCGGCGCAACAAAAGAGGGCCTATGATTGTAGGGCCACCTGCCAGTTCTACTCGGAAGGTGAATTGGTGTGGGTCCGAAATAAGCTGGGGGGGGGGGGGGGTTGTTTCCCAAGCTGCAGAGATGATATAAAGGACTGTTTAGGGTTCTTGAGCGGGTGACAGATGTGATATACAGGCTGGTACCCGTTGAGGAGGGCCCTGAGAGTGTGGTCCACTTTAACCGACTTAAGCCATGCACTTCTCTTTCAACAGTTGCAGCACCGCTGGTTGTGGGGTCCCAAGAGAGAGCAGGACAGAGGCTGCGTCAGCGGGATGCCACCTGGGAAGATACCAGCAGGGTTCATCGATGGTCTGCAGAGACAAGCAGATCTGGTGACGCAAGTGACCCGGCCCCATCACGTGGAGGAGCTGCTCGAGGGGGTGCTGTTGCTGGAGGACCGGAAGGATGTCTCCTTCGGGAGGTCAATGGACATGGAGCTGCGGAACAACGGGTGGTTCATCAGCCGGATGCCACCAACCGGCAACCAGATGCCACCTGGGAGGACTCCAGCAGCAGTGCTCAACGGTTTTCAGAGACGAGAGGCTCCAGTGATTCAAGCAACCCTACCCCATTATATGGAGTGGCTGCTCGAGGGGGTGCGGTTGGAAGAGGATCGGGAGGCCGTATCCCTGGCACGGTCGAGGGACCTGGAGTTGTGGAGCAACGCGTGGTTCGTCAGAGGAGGCCCCCTGCTTGGTATAAGGATTATCATGTGGAAGTCTAGGACTTGAGGTCGAGTCCTTCAGGACAAAGAGGGGGAGAGTGTGATGGACAGAAGACGGAAGCTGCCGGGCTCTGAGGGTGTGGTGATTGGACACCGGCTGGTCCTCGTTACGGATAACGAGGCCGGGGAGGATAAAAGGGTGACAGGTCTACCGAGATGTGTGGTGGTCGACCTGTCATTGTGGCATTGGACTTTGGGGGGTGGGGTCGTTCGCAGTCGTTTAGGGCTGCCGGCGACGATGACAGTTGAATAGGCGTACAATGTTCCAGCGCTAGGAGGGAAGGCTTGTCACCTTCTTTAGGTAGCGAGGGCTGGGAATAGTGGATGCCAAGACCATGCCGATATCTGCCGCCACAGACTCTGGCAGTGGAACTTACATTGTGGATTTACCCGCCATCCTCGCTAGCTGCACCCCGGGGCGTTGGACGGCGTTGGAGGCTCAGACCCATCGTCTGGGACAGCTAAGTACCGCTGCCTGTTTTATTCATACTGGACAGCTGGTTTTATCATAGGGGACTTTGGCCATAATGTTTTATTATTGATTGTGTAATAAAGTGTGTCTTTTCATAAGTCGTTGGCTACTGGTGGTGTTTTCGGGTTCTGACTGGAGGGCAAGATATTCTGCCCATGCGCCCATTGAAACTTACATTACATAACTGTTAACTAACTGATAAGAAAACGTGTAAATATGTGAAAGGAAATGACAAAACTCTGTAATTTCAGCTCATACGTGGAAACTTGGGACGGTTAAGAAAAAGCATGGTCTTATTTAGCCCATTCTGATGTACTAAGGCTCAAAACTGTACAAATAAGTATCGAAACAAACATTAATTTGTTCATTCGTTCATTTAGTTGTTGTAAGCTTTTCGCGTGCATTTTGTCCAGATAGGTTGTGACATTCAATACATTAGACAAAAAGTAATAAAGTGGAATTTATTTAAATCTTTTGCACCATTTTAAAAGGTAAATACGCACAGACCCGCGCGCTCACACTCAGCTTCATCCATATGCTAAAATCCTGTGATGAGGACGTCATCGTGACCCCCCCCCCCCCCACACACACACACACACACCCACCCCCCACGTAAACAGGGGCTTATCTTTAAAAAATAAGCTGCATTTGTGCATCTTCTGGCTGTGACGTTGCACAGCAGACCTTTATATTGAAACAGCACCGTGTGCATTTTAATAGGCTTCTCTCAGACACACACAAGCTGCAAGCTAACGGAGCTGCGGAGGGGAGTACAGTACAGTGAGTGCAGTGGTCTGCCTCTTCCAGCTAACGTTACAGCTGTTCCCAACTCCGCCACATCCCGCTGGAGGGGCATTAACATTTAAAACGGGACAAATGAACGAGCTGGTGAAGAGTTTACCGTCTCCGACTCTTCCCGGGCTACACCTCCCGTGTCTGGACGCCCATAAAGGCTGGCTCTTTAAATGGACCAACTACCTGAAGGGCTACCAGCGGCGGTGGTTCGTCCTCAGCAACGGCCTGCTGTCCTACTACAGGTAACCACCGCGACCCGACACACAACTCACGAGTTACAGCCATGTTTATTCGGTTAAAATAAAGTTTAGAGTAAAGTAAACACCATTTCTCTTTTCCTAGCAGGGTTGTGCTGCAGCGGGAATGAGGATATTTATTTAGAATGACGTGGGATGAAACTTTAAGTCTTTTCAGATCGGTGAGTCCCAAACATGGGGGGTTCTAGAATCATAACTGTGGGGGCCGATGCCCCAACAGTTTTGTCAACGGAAGAAGCATCAAATCATACAGAAACGCGTAAATAAATCAATGGACTTCTGAGTTAGATTTATGTTGTTCAGACATTAAAGCAAGACCATAAATGACAAGTATTGACATTTTCCCCACATTTGACTTGACAAAAATTAAAGATGGGAAGTTTTAAGAAATAAAAAAATGATAAATAGAAATATGATTAGTAAAATGATGCAGGTGCTGTCTAGATGAAAAAAGAAATGCATCGCAAACCCAGTGGTTAATAACTATGTGTTTGCAAATTTAATGACTATAAAGAGTCTAGCTAGTCTGTTAAAGACATCTTCCATAGTGAAAAATAAGTGTTTGAAATAGTCAATGATACATGTATTTACTGTATTTATTGAATATTCCATTGCCGTGCTGTCACATTTTTTTCAACTTTAAGGGCAAACTTAAAGGTGGAACCATGTAACCCAATTTTTTAATTATTATTTCTGATTAAAATCAGTCACTCTTGGGTTTTTCATGCAGGCTGAACATCAAAATTGTCTTCTACATGTATCACCTGCATTAGCTTCTGATTGAAAATAGATGGTGAAACTCTAGGATTAAAAAAGCCTGACAAAGCTATGTCACACTGTCATTTAACATTCATGGGCTCACCCATCTTGGCTCCCGACAAGGAAAGCAGTTGTTGGTTTTTTCCTCCAGTAAACAGCAGAGAACGTCTCGACTAGTAGAAGTTAACTGTTAGCATTAGCAACTACAACACACAGCAGAACTTCTCGATGCTTGCGTTATTTGTAGAGACAAAACATCAACGTTGCAGAGCAAACAGTGGTAAAGTCACGTTGCTGTTAGCCAAATCAAGGTGAAATGTTCAAATATCTGGAAACAAGACTCCAAATGCTTCCTGAAACTGGTGCACCAGTGCTTTGTTTCCCCAGAGCACGACTTACAAGGTATTCATTTGTACTAGAGACCATTGCAAATGCATTGATGAATTGAGTGAACCAAACCTTTAAGAGGTAATTCTACAGAATCAGGTATGTTGGAACAGGGAAACAAACATGCAGGATAGCATGAAGAAGATTGGGGTTGAAGACTACTGTGCTACTGCTAAGGTAAATTTTGGTGATCTGTGTTTGAATGGGGGAAAATCTAGTTTTTTTTCCAGAGTTTAATTGAAAGTTCTATTGTTTTTATTTAATCAAATTCTGTAAAATTGAAACAACAGATAGCATGGTAGGATATCATTGCTTACCGTTGGATTGAGGTTTTAAAAGTTGAATATCAGAAATTTTAATAAAAAGCTATATATTTATTTTAAAATAACACCTACACGGGGTGTTTAGATGTGTGCAGAATGAAGGTACAGTACTTCCTTTAAAAACTATATTTTAAAGAAAAAAAAAATCAAATATTTATTTTGACAGGCCCAACACTCGGTTTTTGTTTACATCTACCAGTCAATAGAGGGCACCATTGTGGATTGCCAAATAGTCAACTCGACACAGCGAGGGTAGCGCTGGAAAATGGCAGACTCGGCAAGACAAGCAGCTGCTTCTGAGCCCAGAAGATGTTGTTGTCCATCTCAGAAGACGAGCGACCATAAAAGATCTAAAATCAGAGAGAGTTTAGGTGAAGCCTACAAGAAATGGAAAATAGGGCTGGACGATAATTCAACAGTGCAATATATCTATCGATAGACATGTGGTGCGATAGAAAAAAAATGGGTCGATAAAACGTTGATAAAAAAAGTTTCCTTTTTTCTTTATAACCTATCAGGTAGCAGCATACTAGACTCACTACACAATCCTAAACAATCAAAACCACAGGTTCAGGCATGCTACGCCACCAGGCCCTCCAGAACATGAGGCTGCAAGATGTCGCAACAAGAAGAGGTGGCGAAAAATTAAAAATACAAAAAATAAAATGGGCTGCATGTTAAATATATTTTCTACAATTTAAATCATATTTTTCTATAATTATCGATAGATAAATATAAAAAATAAATGTATCGATATACATTTTTTCTATATCGTACAGCCCTAATGGGTGCAATAAAATATTTCACGCATCGGCAGCGAACCTGGTATCCCGACAGCTGGGAAACTTGGTCTGGTGTTGCAACTACAACCCCCACACTCTGGATGTTGCTTTGGTGTTTGTGTAACATATTCCACATTTACTTCCCTGTCAGGGTAAGCTTCGCTTATCTACATTTATTTCCACCCAGTTGTGTAAATCATTTCAGTAAGATTGTGTATCAATGTTTAGTCAGAATGCATCGTGAAATCTTCTCCAGCACATCCCAAAAAGAGTCTCAATTACCTAAAAGTCTGAACTCTGCAGTAGTTGCTGTATGCATAAACATTGTTTCTCATGTTTATTCATTTCATATTGAAGAAATAAAATTTTTTTTGAGTTCATATAACAGCAAAGACAAATGCAGATGCAGCACATGATCCTGGAACTGACCCGTAAGCCTTCTGGGCTTTTGTTCTGCTGACACACACCACTGTTAATATAATTCAGTTTGTTGTTTTCTCTCCCCCTCAGGACTCAGGCAGAAATGGCACACACCTGCCGGGGCACTATTCCTTTGGCGACAGCTCACATTGAGGTAGGTGACACTTGTCACTTTGTATTAACCAGCGGAGGCCGAACCTACCATCTGAAGGCCACCTCTGAGGGCGAGTGTCAGAGATGGGTGTCAGCCCTGCAACAGGCCAAAGCCAACTCCACCCTCCTGATGCACCACTCAGGTGAGGTCACGGTTTTCTACTCACTGGTACCTGGTACAGTGTGTTTATTGTTTAGATTTTTAATTGGACTCATTTCACAGCCTTGTTTGTCTTTGCTGCTACATTTGAACTGATCTCATTTGTATTAAAAAAACAGACTGACCTAGAAAATGTGCTTCAAAAGAACATGTTTCATCTGAGAAAGCCTGTAGTCTCACTAAATTTAGCTGTAACTCGATGCACGCAAGCAAGCAAGACCAACTTCACTAAACGCATTTTGTATTTCTGCCATTCTCAGTCTGATGCAAAGAGCAGACCACCAGAGGGCAGTGTGATTCAGCATGTCCTCATGGGCACAGTGTTGATTTAAAGGCCAAAGGAAAATAGCTGCAGTCGACCATGTCATGAAAAATCTCTTATTCCATCATTGTCTCTAAATCATTTGCAACTAATATGATATCATTCATAAAATGAATCCATGAACACATGATTTAAAAATAAATTACAAAATAGGTACAATTCACCACCTTCCTAGCACTCTGCCTCCTATCTCCTTCCCTGTCTCCTTAAGTACGAGAGCTGAATGAAATGACCTTCCTCCCTGACTCCTCCCCTTGTTCTGGTAGCAGGAGTGGTTGGAACACAGAAGAGAGAGGGAGAGAGACATGACAGTCGGTTGTGAGAGGGTTTCATTGGAAAGATTTCCCACCAGCTTCTAATGGAGAATAGGTAGATCTGAGTGCAGCTTTTAAACTGAGTGTCACCTTGTAAGTAAGCATTTTATTTTACACACAACACTTAAGATCTGTGCTTTTTCTTTGGATTCCGTCCTGCTTTAGTTGTCTGTATTCGTCCCAAAGTGTGTCTTGCTGCAGAGTTGAATAAGTTTTACTATTCTGCGCTGAATGATGATATAGATTTGCATTTAAAGTAAACAATATGACATTTTCTTTGAACTCAGGACTGATTTAAATAAAAAAAAAATGTTCAGAGCTTCCATGCAAATCGTTGCTATTGTTGGTACGCTTTAATGCTGCAAAGGGGCTTGAACGTGCCGGATGCAAATCAGTGTTGTTTGTCTTTCTGTTCACCTTGAACAATTCAAGCTGTATTTCCCAGCAGACTTTACCTTTGTGTTATGATTTACAGCACATAATGTAATCTGGATGGCTGCAGTTCTGAGTAGGGCTGAACGATTTTGGAAAAAAATCTAATTGCAATTTTTTTTCTTCAATATTGCAATTGCAATTTAATTCACAATTATATTCTCAAGGGGCTTTTCTCATTTTTCAACTAACGGAAGCAAAAAAAAATCTATATAACTTGTACTGAATATAAACAAGTTTATGTATCTACATATTTATCCACATATATCAACAAGTTTATTTGTCTACATAAACACTCACAAGTAAAAACAAATTTTGTATTTTAAGGTGCAATGCTTTGCAGAAAGGAGCACATCCATTGAAGGACCATAGGTATTAGCATCAATTGTGAAAATTGATTTGCAGGAAGTGTGTCCCATTTATTGAAGTATTTTGATTTTAGAGTTTTTGACGTTTTGTCCGTGCAGAGTTTCCGTAGTTCAATTTCGTTCATAGCTGCTCTAGCCAGTGGAGTTAAATGGGCCATTCCCATCTGTACCGGGTCGGCCCCAGCCTGGCCCGGTTGTTTCCACACATCCTTGCTTAGGTATGCAAGGAATGCAGTCAGAGACACTTTCAGCTTCTGGGTAATCAGCATGATAATGAATGATAATGAATTGAGCATGCCTTAAGCCCATGTGGGCTGATTCTACCCACCAATCAGAGGCTTGCTCTAATGGAAGGTGTGAATTTGCTGTCAGCAGTGGGTGTGTTGGCCCTGGTCGGCCTGAAGCAGACACCCTCGAGAAGAGGGCTGAGAATGAGCCTTGGTTGGCCCGGAAAAATACCAGGCCACCCAGATATGTAAACAACCTACGCTACCCGGCCCGGGCCGACCCGGTACAGATGGGAATGGCCCAAAAGTCTCTTACAGTTCTCTAGCTTTACTAAAATGTCTGTCTGTACTTATTTGATTAATAACAGTTTTTACTTTTTATTAGACTACAAATGTAATAATTTGGCACGTTCCTAATTTGTATTGTGTAAGAATGTAATCAGCGATATTAGCATTAGCATCCCTATGGGTTTTTCAATGTATATTAGCATTGCGCTAACCACTCACTGTCAGTCTTTGCCATTAGAAAATCTCAATTGCATATGCAATTAATCGTTCGGCCCTAGTTCTGAGTGTACGGTGTGTTTTTGTTGTTGTTATTATTTAAATTTGAGGTTATTTTCACATTTAAATTACTTTCTGGTGTTTAACTCAAACACGTGAAAAGCTTAGCTGAGTGTAAGCAGATGTGCAAATCCTTGTATATTTGGTGATGTGATTGCTGTTGCATGATGGGCTTTGTTCCAGGACGAATTAATTGGCTGAACTTTGATAGAACAGAAGTAATTAAGTGGAGTTTTAAGAGCAATAAAGCACCTACCACAATTATATCCATCACATGATAAGCTCCTGTGAGCTTTGCACTCTTTAATAGGTGTGAATAAGCATGCTGGTATATATTTGTTTATGTTCTGCTTAAATAATGAAATGCATGTCTACAGCAAGCTTTTCAGCAGACTCCAAATACTGGGTTTGCGCTGCAGAAACTCACAGATCACCCCCCTACCAGATTTTTCGACTCCCTCTCTTCCCACACTAATGACGCT